TCATTTGTCTCAAGGTACTTTCTTGTTGCCTCTTCTGTTTCTTTTTTTGACCCATTGATTGTTTAGTAGCATATTGTTCAGCCTCCATGCATTTGTGTTTTTTCTAGTTTTTTTCTTGTAATTGATTTCTAGTTTCATATTATTGTGGCTGGAAAAGATGCTTGATATGATTTCATTCTTTTTTAATTTATTTAGACATGTTTTGTGGCCCTACATGTTCTCTGTCCTGGAGAATGTTCCATGTGCACCTGAAAAGAATGTACATTGATGTGTGGTGTTAACATCCACTAGCATTACTGTATTACTGTATCTCCCCTTATGTCTGTTAATATTGGTATATACATTTAGGTGGTCCTATGTTAAGTATATAAATAAAGTGTATTTTATGTAAGTATAACTACTCTAGCTTTTTTTGTTTTCATTTGCATGGAATATCTTTTTCCAAACCTTCACTTTCAGTCTGCATGTGTCTTTAGGTTTGAAGTGAGTTTCTTGTGGACAGCATACAGATGAGTCTTGTTCTCTTATCTGTTCATTTACCCTATCTTTTGATTGGAGCATTTAGTCTATTTACATTTAAAGTTATTATTTATAGATATGTGTTTATTGCCATTCTGTTAAATGTTTTATGGTTGTTTTTGTAGTTCTCTGTTCCTTTCTGCTTCTCTTCTCTCTTCCCTTGTGATTTGATACCTTTAGTGTTATGCTTGGATTCCTTTCTGTTTAAGTTTTTGTATCTATTACAAGTTTTTGGTTTATGGTTATGATAACATCTTATGTTTATAGCATTCTACTTTAAGTCATGGTCACTTAAGTTCAAACAGTTCTAAAAGCACTATATTTTTATTCCCCACCCCCACATTTTTTGTATTTAACATCCTGGTTTACATTTCTTTATTTTGTATATCCCTTAATTATTTTAGATAAAGTTAATTTTACTACTATTTTCTTTTAGCCTTCACACTCACTTTATAAGTTATTGATTACTACCTGTACTATAAGTTTGTTTATACCAGTGAAGTTTTTTCCTTCATAATTTTCTTCTATTATGGCCTTTTCTGCTTTAAGAAGTCCCTTTAACATTCTTGTAGGGCTGGTTGGGTAGTGATGAACTCTAAGTTTTGCTTATCTGGGAAACTTTCTCTCTCCTTTAATTCTGAATGATAACCCTGCATGGCATATATTCTGGTTGTAGATTTTATTCCTTTCAGCACTTTGAATATGTTGTGCCACTCCTCTGGCCTGCAAAGTTTTGGCTAAAAAATCATCTGATAGTCTTGTGGGTATTCCCTTATTTATAACTATTTGCTTTCCTCTTGCTGCTTTTAAGAGTCTCTCTTTATCCTTAATTCTTGACATTTTAAATATTAATGTGTCTTAGTGTGGACCTTTTTGGGTTTATCTTGTTTGGGGTTCTCTGTGCTTCTTGGACTTGGATGTCTATTTCCTTCCCCATGTCTAAGTTTTCAGCTATTATTGTTTCAGATAAGTTTTCTGCCCCTTTTTCTCTCTCTTCTTCTGGAACCCCTATAATGCAAATGTTAGTATACTCGATGTTGTCCAGGGTCCCTTAACCTATCCCTATTTTTTAAATTCTTTTTTCCTTTTGCTGTTTAGCTTCGATGTCCACTACCCTGTCATCCAGATCATTGATCCATTCTTCTGCATTTTCTCATCTGCTGTTGATTCGCTCCAGTGTATTTTACATTTCAATTATTGATTCCTTCAGCTCTGATTGGTTCTTTATTAGCATGTTGCTTTTCTCTATTTGCTTAATTCTTTTTCTGAGGTTTTTGTCTTGTCACCTACATCTCCTGTCTTGAAGGTAGTAGCTTTAAATAGAAGGTGTCCTGTGGGGCCAAGAAGTATAATCTCCCTGGCTATCAGAACCAGGTGTTCCAGAGGTGTATCCCCTCCTTTTGTGACTGCGCTGAAGCTGCTTTGGGTGTCTTGCAGGCAGGGCTATACCCTGGCCCAGCTGGCTAAGAGGCCTGACCAGTGGGGGTCCACTGGTAAGCAGGGATGGCCCCCAGCATAGTTTTCTGGGAGCATTGGGCCAGCTTGGTTGAAAGAGGGAAAGAAAAATGGTGACCAGCACTTTTTTTCCCTGGAGAAAGCTCCTATAGATCCCTGCCCCTTCAGCACACACCTGCACTTAGAAATCTCTTTCACATCTGGCCCAGGTGCTTTTCAAATTGCTGCCTCTGTGCTGGGTTTTGGTGTGTCTGTCAGAGCTGGTGAGATTGGGTTTTCTGCTCTGTTCTAACCTTCTACCCATCTAGAAGTGTTTTTGGTTGTCACAGCTAGGATGCTTCTGGTGTCTAGTGGATAGAGGTGAGGGATGCTGGTAAACATCCTTCAAGGCACAGGGCAGCATCCCACAACAATTACTCAGCATTGACCAGCCCAAAATGCTAAGGCTGAGAAACCTTGCTTTAGAGTATTTAGCCATAAAATCTTCTTCTCAGTAATTTTAGATTTTCCTTCACAAAAACATAAGATCCTTTGTGTTTGTCAGGAATGCTAAGATGACATAACCACTTTCCTAAGATCCTTGTCCTTTCCTGCCCATGAATCTGTTCATTTTCCTCTGTTGAATTGAGCCCATGCTAATGGTTTTCTTTGTTGTTTCCTCAGCCTTTGGATTTGTCCTTGGATTTTTTTTTCTCAGATGACATGAGTATTATGGTATATTTGTTCTTGAATAACATAATAGAGATGAAAAACACTATGTTCTCTAATTATTTTTGGGAAAGAGCAAAGGAACAGAGACTCAAGAGGTGGAGTAATATTTTCAGTGACTCAGACTGTCAGTTATGGTTATTAATAATAATGTTGCTTTAACTTTACCATATGCAATTATTTTTCTTAAACAAAAAAAGTTGATTTTACTTACATTTTAATATGAATATTGAGAAGAATTTATATTGAGTCTATAATTTATGGAATGCTTTAGAAGTATGGTTAGCACTAGTCCTCTGAGTTTCACATTTTGCAAGTGAAAGTTTCAATACGAGAATATATAGCTGCATTTTCTTATATACCCTGTTTGCTCTTAACACTGTTATATTTGTAATTTTGTATTTTAGCCACGGAGAGCACTTTTAAACATTTACTTTGCTTGGCTTCGTGAGTTACAGAACAGAAATAAATGAGCATGGCCCTCTTATTTTTTTCTAGGTAGGACGACAGGGTCTAAATGTAAGAATTCAGCTCAAACACATTAAGGGACATAGAGACAGTATAAAGTTACAGCTCATAAAATAGAATCAGAGTGTGTAGCAATAAATTAGACTTTAACAAATCTCATCCAACCTCATTTTATAGATGATGAAACTGAGACTCAAAGTAGTTTAATGTCTTCCAAAAGGTCATGGAGCTAGTTACAGGGAAAGCTGAACTTGAACACAGGTCATATGTTTTCTGCTGATGTCATGATGTTCAAGTTCTCCATTTGGCTGGACCTATGATCTTTTCTTTCTGGGTCTAGCCTTAGCCTCTTTATCTCCTGTCATCTCTAGGGACTAGGCTGTGTAATGGTCACATTCCTAGCAGGGAGGGAGTCACCTCTCCATTAATTATGTAGTTCTCATTGTCCCTAATGTTTGGCTGTGTAGCTTCTCAAGTATAAGCCTAATTTTTCTACTTAAAATTGTTTTAGACAGAATAGGAAAAAAAGTAACACCACCCTAGTGACTTCTTTGACCCCTGTTTTCTTCTACTCAGTCAGAATGCTTTTAAAAGCTCAAGGGTTAGAGGTTTCCTTTTACTGAAAAATTAACTGCTTTGGTTTCCTGGGCTTTTGCTATTAAAAATCATCTATCTTGTAATGCAGTTTGAATTTTCCTAGCTTTACCTATAATATATTTATCACAGAAATATATTTGAATCATTTATTGACCACTTGACTCTTACACTAGCTTTTAATGAGGACTTTTGCAGAGCTGTCTGGTCTGTGGCTTGAGTTTTTCCCTAATGAGGTAGGGACAGATGTGTGTGCTGCTTTCTTCTACCATGGAGGCCATAGGTATTACTTAAGAAACTTTTAAAGTTTTGCTTTTCACTTATTGTTAACTCACTTGTAATTTATATTTGGTTATGTAACAAGATAGGGAGCTAACTTTTTCCTCCAGTAGATACCCCGTTTATACAGATATCACTTACTAATGTCTTGTTCTCCTGTCTTTGGTCTGAGCCAGCAGCAATACCAGCTGCCTTCATTTGGTATCTGCTAGAGTGAGGTTCCCCTGCCTGCCTATGCGGTTGATGTTCTTCAGGAGTGTCCTGGCTATTCATGACCCTTTGGTTTTCTATATAAAATTTACATGGAATTTAAAGTTCCTTTAAAAAAAATCCTTTTGAGACTTTGGTTGAAATTGCATTGCATTTATAAATTAATGTGAGTATATCTAATTTAAAAATAAAAATGTTTGGGTATTTAAAGGAGTAAATTCCTAGTTTTTTTGAAAAAAATTGGTTGTCTAAAAGAATCAATTCTCCAAGAGTTCTGAATATTCAAGGTCTTATTACATTTAAACAAAGAAAAATATACCGTTGAAAATGTTCATTCATATATTGGGTAATTCCTAAAATTAAATATTTAAACATCTTTAATTCATTACACTTGCTGATCTCTTCATTCATCAAATTTATATTGATTACTTATTTCATACACGGCTTTCTACAGAATATAGCAGCAGTTTGAAAATCCCCAACAGTCAGTAGTAGCAAAGTTTCATTTGAATTTTTTGGTGCATTATATATGATATAATTCACTTCTTAGGCATATGTACCTCAGTTCATACTGGAGGAAAATGTTCCCCATTCTGGCTACACATTGTATGTAGTTTATGCTTAAAAAAAAAAGCAAAGAATTTACGCTTCTAAAATTTGTCTCAAAAAAATCTACCTAGTGTTCATAGATAAGGGAATGTGGGCTTCATTCCATCTGATCAGACTGGATTAATAATTTGCTAATATTCATTTTTGTCTTTCCATAGAGACTTACAGCCAATACAGGAGGTAAACAGCGTAGTCGCCTTTCCATCATGGCCCAGTACCTCTGCAATGTTCAGCATATCTTGACAATTCCAGGTCGGGCTTTTGTCCCCAAACCAGAGGTGAGTTTCTGTTTATTTGAGTATGCCAGAACTAGGATTTTAATTGTAATCTTTGTTCCTTTGAGGATGTGTCATAGGAAATTCTCCCTAAGGTCTGAACTTTACCTATATGCAAACTCTACTATAACTTTTTCTTTACCTCTCCTGAACAAGAGCCATAAAAATCATAAGATGAATAGTTCTCATTCTAATGTTTCTCCCCCATAGATAGAATGGCCAAATGTCTAGGTTTATCCATGTTGCTCTGGTGGTAGTATTATTATCATCATCACTCCCTTTTTATTTTCAAAATTCCTTTAAACACCCAGTGTGGAAGGTAAGTGGCATGTTCACCCAATCCTCAAAAAAAAGTTTTTTGTGTGTGATTTCTGATAGGGACTTCTAACTAAAGTTACATCAAACATTACTTATCTATTGTGAAAGTTTTTCCACCTTTTTCAGATTTTAGTTTGGCAGTGTTGTGATCAATCATCTGTGAAAAAGTTGGATGTAAACTAAGTTTTGACTATTATGTGCTAATTACAGAAATAGAATTTCTCTGCCAAAAATAAAAATCATTAAGCTGGTGTCTACTTTAGCCAAACCACTGCAGGATGAGTGAGGACATGTATTATAAGATTCGTCTGTTTCATCCTTGAATGTGTATTGAGCGAGCGCCTACTGCACGAGGAGCTCGGAGCGAGGCCGAGATGGGGAGAGACGGGTAGGAATCTGCCTTCAGGGTTCACGGCTGGGAACAGACTTCTTGCTTCCTGGAACTCACGAGCAGGAAAGTCTTGCATAGTTTCCCTTACATCATTTGACATTCATTAATAAAAGCAGATAGCATGAAAAAGTGTATTATGTGGTTTTTAGATTTAGATATTGATTATTGATTTAGAAAGTGGCTCCCAACCAAATAGTGTTTGACCTACTTAAACATCTTGAAACCTGGTTTGGGAAGTCTCCATGTTCTTTGCTCCCAGCTTCCACTTCCTCTGCCATGTTCCCACCACAATTAGCGGAGTGTTCAAATGACTATAGGAATTCAGTCCATCTTCCACTTTTATAACAGACTTACTTTTCAGTTTTCTAAATCAAGCTCAGGAAACTCATTCTCACTTTAGCATCTCAAGGTTTCAGACATGACTTCTTCCAAAATAATAGATGCTATTAGATCCAAGACAGAGTTTTATGGCTGGAGACATCTTCTAGGTCATCATCAGATTCAACACATTTGTGCTTTGAGGCATTTTGTATACTAGAACAGGTGGCCAGTAGAATGAAAAAATCAAGACACCATATAGCTTTCTTCTTGTAATTCATATAACTTTATTTTTTAGTTTTAACTAAAAAACTGTGTTTATAACATTTTTGAATAGTTTAAGACCCTATTATATCAGAAACCAAGATCTTTACTTACAGGCTTTTATAGTGATTATTACAATAATCCAGGATCTTTAGGCTATTTAAATTTTATCAAGGGTTTCTTAAGGTGGATTTTAGAATACTTTTAGTGGGAAGTTTCTCTTTGTTTTAGTTTCCTAGTTGAGAATATTTAATGGGTGTTTAGACATTGTTATCAACTTTACCTTTGATTTGACGGGAAGGTACATGCATAGCTAGTTAATTAGAAGTTCTTTGCTTTAGGATTAAGGCCTAATGAAAATATTATTTGGGAAAAAAATTAGCTTTCTGTCTTTGGTTTTCATTTTCCTGAGGGATGTTTGCTTTTTGGCAAGTGAAACATATAGCAGTTTTCTTTATATCCTTTTCATCATGTTTTAAATATTACACGCAAGAAATTTATTTTTAATCTAGGAAAGCACTTACAAGGAAGAGAGAGTGTATTGTGATAAAGGAAAACAATGAATGATTTGACTGATAGTTGCATTGAGTGACTTTTAAAAAAATACATTTTCTTAAGTAAGAAAGGGAAAGAGTTTTGAAAGGTGATAAAATAACTACAAGGATGCCCCTCTGGCTAAAGCCTTCTGAACATAAGAGCAAGTTATAAACATAAATAAGTACAACACAAGGTAAAAGGTGCTAAGTGCTAAGAGAGAGGTCCAGGTAGATTTGTGGCCGAGCTGAGAGAAGGAGGTTAATTCTCTCTAGATGCTCAGGTGAAACTTACTAAGTTTCAGAACTTACTCTCTACCAAAGCTCTAAGAATTAAATATGGAGAATTTCTTTTGTGATATGAGAAGAAGGGCTTATTTATAAACCACTTTAGGATTTTTCCTATGAGAATCCATTTGTCTGTTTTTGGTTTTTAGATTAACCAACATAATCATGCTCTACTGGTAGAACTTCCACTACCGCGGACTCCGCAATACTGTTCTGACTAGCTGACCTAAATTCTTGCCAAACTCCTTCCTCTCATTACCTTCTCCAGTGCAGTCCCCAAAACTTGAACCCAAAATTCTGTTCTGTCTATAGAAAACACAACCTCTTAAGTCCTTACAATTAGACTAATTGGTTTACTCTAGTGTTCCTTAAACTTCTAGAGTTTGTAGTATATAGATTTTAAGTTAGAAATAAATTTTTTTAAATTTTCATTCCACTGTTAACAAAGTTATTTTACTAATTACAAGACAAAATACCTCTTTTGCCGTGCAAATTCACAACTAATAAAGCTTGTTTCTGTTTCTCAAGCTGTCATGTTTAGACTCCTGAGAATTATTGTATTTCTGGGGTTTCACAGCAGTTTTTTTCTCAGCTAATCTGCACATTATTAAGGTTTGAGAACTACTGAGCTATTAACTAGTCCCTTCAAACATCTGTCATCTATTTTCTTTTATAAATTGTGGTTATGTGTCTGATACACTAATATCCTTCCCAGAGAGTAGAAAGCTTTAGGTCCAACCACAGTCTTGTACTCTGACCTAGTAGAAAAGTCACTAAGATACAATACGAGAACTGCAGCAGGCTCTTTGGATTATTGTGATAGAAGCAGTGTATCTGGTGGGAGAACTGGAAGTACTTTAAAGGAAGCTCGGCCTGCTAGAATTCCAGTGCTTCTAGTTATGATAATATGGTCAGGTTAATAGACTGAGTCTTGCCCATCCCACGTCAGGACAGTAATATTACCCTTGAAGGATGCTTCTGAGAAATAAAGATGATCAGTGTAAAGTGCCTACTGTGAGTGTCTGGCACATGGAGGCAGTCAGTAAGAGGTAGTTGTTATTGTTATGATTATAAACAAATATTTGTAGACTAAGTTGTAATATCCTGATACAGCAGTATGGATTATAATTGTTAAGACATACATATAATTGACATCTAATTTTGCCTTTTTAGAAGTATGGCACAGGGAACAAGTTATCCCCAAACGTGGTACAGATTTAAAGCATTGTCAATACAATTTTAGATGAATTAATGGTGTATATCCATGGGATTTTACAAAGTAAGGTCGGGACTTGAGGCATCCGCACCTGACCTTTGAGGACAGTGTTTCAGAGACCCCCCAGTGTCAGTCATCCCATAAGGCAGGGGAGCAGCTTCTTGTGCCCCTGGATTGTCAGGCTTTGGCTCTTGGCTGCCTCTGAGGAGCCACGCTGCCCTGACCTTCCAGTTGAGGCAGCTCCAGATCTGGGGGGTGGGTGCACAGCTCAGAGGCAGGAGCTTGGGCAAAAGTCCTCCTCTGTCAGTTCCCACCAGTGCACAGGGCTGCCAGACTCCTGATGTGGCCTTCTCTGCCTGGGCTGCTTGGAAGTTCTAAACTAAGTTTCATATTTAATTGCTCCAGCAGATTCAACCAGGATTATTAATAGCATTCTTTGTCTCTTCCTTTGCTTTGTAACCCCAGTCTCTCACCTTTAGTTTTTGTACCTACTGTGATAATAATTTTATTATAAGTTGCCTCAAATTCTCTTTGAAAGTGAATGAGTCTAAAATAAAAATAAATATGTGAATTAAAAGCCAGTTTTATAATTAGAGAATTACCAGATCATCCTCCTTAAAAATCAGATGTGTTGAATAGAAATAAGGTATTTACTATTACAATTAGAACTTAATACTAGTTAAGCTTTACTAACTACTCAAGAATAAAATGTTCAAAAAGTATTATAAATCCAAAGAAGGAAAAAACAAAATTGTATTTTTGTAGAGAGGTTTTTGTATCTGTATGATGTGCAATGAAATGAGCAAAAAAATTACTGGAGGTAATGAAGAGATATGCAACAGGGTTCTACAAGATTATAGGCTACGATATAAATCCTCAAAAATCAATGAAGTTAATATATGCTAAGATCATATAGCTAAAAATACAGTGATAAAAGAAGTGTGCTGAAAAGACATTGAATCCTTGCCTAAAACTGAACTTGTGCGTGCCTGCCCCGGGCCTGCTCCTCCCCATATATTCAGGATGTTGACTGACGGCATCTTCAGCTGCCCAGATCGTGCAGGCCTAACCTGGCAGTCACCGTAAGTGCCCCCTTTATCCTCACCCTCACAACTAGCCACTAGTTACCAACTGCTGACATTTCTTTTTCTCTTCAATCTATCAATTATACCCAGTTCTCCTGACTTAATCTAAGTTTTCATCATTTTTGCCAGAATTACTGAGATTTCTTCAGTCCTGAATGTATACCTGCACATCCTTACACACACACACACACACACACCTGCTCCATGGATAGAGTAAGCATGATATTTCAGGAGGGGGTTGGGCATTGTCTTTTGATTTTTGTTTTGGTAGCTTTTTACTCAAAGGAACATGAGTTTAAATGTATTCAAATAGATTAGCCCAGGGTTTCTCAACTCACCACTCTTGACATTTTGGACCAGATAATTCTTTGTTGCCTGGGCTGTCCTGCACATTGTAAGATCTTAACGGCATTCTGGCCTCCACTACTCCAGTTGTGAAAACCAGAAATGTCCCCCAGGTATTGGCATATGTCCTCTGCAGGCTAACCTGACCCCTGTTTGGAAGCCCTGGGGTGGACTTAGACCTGTTGGCAGCACTGGCTGCATGCCCCCCATGCCTGGTGTGTGGTTATGTGTATTGTCTCACTGAACCCTCACAACTCTGTAAATGGGTCCCATTTTCATCCTTATTTTCTTAGGAGCAAACCAAGATTTAGGTTAAGGAATGTGTACTGTGTAACCTTGTACCCAGGTGGTTTGACTCTGGAGCCAGGTTTCCTCTGGTTGAATCACATCTCCCCACTTATTAGCTTGTGACTTTGGACAAATTAGGTAATTTACTTAACTCTTCTCTGCCTCAGTTTCCTTTAAGGTACTAAGACTAGTACCTCCTCCTAGACAGCTTGTGTGGTTTAAACCAGTCAGTGTATCCAAAGGATTGAGATAGGACTGGCATGTCATAGTAGTCACTTGCAGTGGGAAATCCCTGATAATACAAAGGTAACAAAGGTGCCTTATCTCCCAGTCTAGTAAGAGATGCAGTCATGTAAGCTAATAATTTGTTTGAGCAGAGCATTCTCTGAGAGTACAGAGATGGAAGCAGTGAACTTCTCCAAGGAGTCAGGATTGAGTTCACAAAGGAGGTTCCATGAGAACCCCAAAAGGTGATTGGGAGCTGGGGCAGTCAGGAGGGGTGTGGGAGGAGCTGGTGGAGGAATACAGTAGGGTGAGTCCTGGAGGGATGCAGGAACCTCGCACACTTTGTCATCACCATTTCCAGTCTTGATAGAATGGGGCCCTTATTTGTATGAAACTGCTACTTTCCTAAGAGTTCAAAACACTCCTATACCTATTTAGGAAGAAAATGTTCCACGGCTAAGTAAAAATTACCTTTTGAATTATATATAGACTAATACATAGAGTACTAATACTAGTTAGTACAGTACTAATACTGATACACAGAATATATAAAGTAGATTTTAGTATAGGTTACATAGGCTGATAGAAAGTCAGTCACATTAAGCAAAATGAGAGAACCAGGTAGGTGTCAATCCTACCACATTAATTTGCATCAAATATTCTTGTCAGTTATTTTTAAAATGACATTTATTTAGAAAATAATATTTTGATCTCTCAAAGGGAATATATTCTTAAACAATTATTTAATGTTCCTTTTATCATCTCTTCCACTGTATCTAATCTGCTTTTAAAACCTTCCAATGTATGTTTCATTTCTGATACTGTGTTCTGTAATGATTGAATCTCTGACCAGAATTCATTCCTGAGTTCTTGAATATTTTTCTGTACCTCCATGAGCATGTTAATAAGTTTTATTTTGAAATCTCTTTCAGGAAGATTCATGAGATCAGTTTCATTTGACTCTTTCTCTGGTGTATTTATGATTTTGCTTTGAACCAGGTTCCTCTGATGTTTCATATTTGTGTGTGGCGCCATCTAGTGCCCAGAAGCTCTACTCTCTGGAGCTGTTCAGCCCCTGGAGCAGTGTCGGAGGTCCCAGGGGAGCAGTGTTGGTGCCTGGGGGGAGGAAAGAGCTGTTTCCTGCTTCCCGGTTGCTATGCCTGTCTCCACTGCCAGAACCAGTGGGCCAAGCACACAGGTTTAAGCCTCTGTGCTTTGTGTTTGTAGCTGCTGTAGGTGGGGCTTCCCTCTGGCTGGCCTAACGCTAGGGCATGGTTTGCCGGTTTGCAAGCCAGGTGCAGGCTGGCCAGAAGGAAGGTGCACAGGGTATCACGGAGCGGGGCTTTGGAGCTGCGTAGCCAGCCAGGTGGCTGGAGCGCCTGAAGATCGTGAAAGTTGCCAACCCGCTGGGCAGAGTGCACCCAGACAATTTTGTCTGCCTGTCCTTTCTCCTGAGCAGTAAGCTCTGTGCAGTCATTGCCCCTTTAGCAGCCCTCTCGCTGTTTGGAAGTCTCTCAGACTGCCTTTCTTTTGTCCAAGAGCAGCCGAGTATGGATCCCTGTTTTCCACAAGTGGCTGTAATCTCAGTCTCTCCAGGTATTCTGCCTGTCTTAGCTTTCCAATGCCCCTGATCACCAGAGCACCATGCAGTGTAGGTTTGTGCTCCCAGAGCAATCTCCAGAGCTAGGTGTTCAGCAGTCGCAGGCCTCCACTCCCTCCCCACTCCATTTCTCTTCCTCCTGGTGGTGAGCTGGGGTGGGAAAAGGGCTTGGGTCCCGCTGGGCCACAGCTTTGGTACGTTACCCTGTTCCATCAGGTCTATTCTTTTCTCCAGGTGTATGCAGTCTGGGAAGCCCTCTTTCCTGTTGCTTTTTCAGGATTAGTTGTATTAATTATATTTTTGTATTATATGCAGTTTTAGGAGGAGGCCTGTGTCTCACCTCTCATGCCACCATCTCTTTTTGCCCTTCTATTTCCTTTTAAACGAGTCACTTTCTAATTCTCATATGAAGTAGTACCTTTTCATTTTAGCTATTCCCTTAATAGCTAATGACATTGAAAATTACTTATTCACATAAAAAAATATTCTTCCCACTCCCTAAGTTATTGATGTACAAAGAAATGGCCCTTCCCCCCTTTGCCATTACATCATGGGCAGTGACTAAGCTTAAATTAACAAATAAATTAGAAACAACAGTGTTCATTGTTTCCTTCATACATTTTGAAAATCCATTTTTTTTTCTTGTTAAAATATTTGAATTACAGACCATAAGATGATTTAACTTTATTTTTTAAAGTATTCATTATACTTAAAAATTTTTATACCCATTAGCTAATTGAAGCAGTCTTCTTATAAGAGAACAATTTTGTTAACATGAATCAAAGGAGAAAAAAATGACAACTTAAAAATAACCTTTATCATCCAAGTGCTCATCAGTTTAAATATGATGGGGGAGAGATAATCTAAGTTGTTACAGGATAAATAAACTTAATCTGGAGTATCGTCTTGCTCACAGCAGCAGATGGCAATTCTTGAGCACTTTAAAATAACAGACTTTATTGGGATCACTGATCTTGTACTTACTGCTTGAAAAGCCCTAGAGGTCACAGCTGGGATCTGGCTGGGGTTTGCTTTGCTGTGGTAGTTTGCCAGTTTCTTTTCTTAGTTCTGCCACATCTTTGAATGTCATATTGTGAGGTCTCACAAATGTGTGTAGATATTTTTCTAAAAGGAAAAAAGAGAAAGGGAGGTCATACTAGAGGGGCCCTTGGACAGCATCTGAAAGGTGGACAGCCCGTCTGTCCCTCACGCTCACAGCGCAGGGCGTGGCAGCTCATTGTGCTGCTGCCAAGCTGCTAATGAAAGCAGACAGTGCCCTGGATCATGGCCTGGGCAAGGTGCTTTTTCCTACTTGGCAATTTAGTTCTTTTATAAAATCCAATTAAATACAAATGCAGAAGATGTACCAACAGTTTTATCTTAAAAAGGGGGGGGAAAGCCATTAATTAATTGTCTTATTAATATAATCAGAACCTCCTTCAATTATAAATCTTAAGGTAAAACATGAAAACAGTAATGGAAGTATAATCTTAAAACAGATAAAACTGTACACAATAGTTTGTTGGCATTTTAAACAACCTCATAATTTTAAAAGTATTTTATGTTCTTTGTAGAGTTAAGCATTATTCTGATGTATTTTTTTAAGTCTAAAAGACAAAAGTCATAGCAGGCACCTAAAAATTCCATATATATTACACAGCTGTTTACACATAATCCTTTAGGTTGTATGCTAAATTGCCCTCTAGCTCAGAGGTGGAGATATGCTGCTGGTTGGGTGGGTAGAGCCAAGCTTCTGGATCCTTTTTTATATAGGAAGTACAGAAAATCATGCCAGAGATAAATAGCAGCATGGCTGAAATAAATGCAATATAGACGGCTCCTCCAGGCTCGTGTTTGTTGCTTTCTGGAACTGTCAGATCTAGAAAGTTTGCTATGATCTCCTTTGTGTACCACACCGTTGGTATTAAACCAGAGATCCCCGCAGACATGAAACAGACTCCTCCAGCAAAAGCAGCATGCCTCTTGGTTCCTCTGTCCCCTCCCAGGCGAGTGCATTTCATCCCTACTGTGGAAGTGCAGATCCCCAAAGCAGACAGAACACAGGCCAGGACCATGGTGGCCCGTGCAGCCTGCACATGGGTGGGGAGCGACAGAATGGAGTACTTCAGTGTGCAGCTGAACATTCCAGTACTGTACCACGTGCAGTCCATCCACAGCCCTTGCAGCTGTACGATGGCCGTTATGATGTTGGAGCCTGTGTCCACGTTCACCTTCCAGCTGGGCAGCAGCGTGGCGGTGAGCATGCCGGAGACCCCAGATAAGGCCAGGATAAAAGCAAGGAGCTGGAGACGCACTGACACCATGACGTTGCTGTTATCCTTGTCCCCTGGCACTTAATTTTGATTGTAGCGCTTTCTGTGCAGTAGAGTACAAATTAACAAAGGCTGGGGAAAGAAGACAAAATCAGGGTTGAAGGAAAGAAAGAATAAACAAAAAGGCTTAGGCATGGTGGTAGCCAAGAACACATCTGAATAGGCCCCCCTCAGTGGGTGAGAACAAGGCTAGCCCAGGAGAAAAAGCTCACACCAGGCCCTCAAAGGCTGCCTTCCTCCTACGTGATTGCGGGTGGGTGGTGCCTGACAGAGTATAAAGGAAAGAGCTATCTGCTCTGTTCTTTTTAAATCTTAAACTGTGCTGAAATTGTAAAGTGGGCATGTGCCTTAGGAGACGTAGACATACCAGATTCCAGCTGTAACACCTGCCAAAGAGTTTTAATAGCATTTCAGGTTTTCAAAATACTGTTTCTAATGAAAATACTGTACAGGTACTAAGGAAATAAAGAATAGTTGAAACCCACCTCTTAAAAATGATTTATAAATACCTATGAGAAAAGTTTTAAGCATTCAAAAAATAATTTTATTTAAAGATATTTCTTAAGCACTCATTATGCACCTAGCACATGACCCAGGTGAATAGTTTAAGGAGGAAAGTAGTGGAAAGAAGTCAGATTAACTAGCATATTACCCCTAATTTCTAGTAAATAAACATTTGCAAAATCCTTACCCAGGTTAGCACTTGTTTCACGTCAGGTACAAGAGTATTCAGAGCTTGGGAGAATGTGAGATCCTTCCTGGTCAGGGCCAGAATCATTCTCTGACCCGTAGCGGCTGCAAAACCAGTTGTTCTGAGTGATCAGAAGCAGAGACATTGAATCTTGAATGTACATACTGGAAACAAACACATCACTTGTTGTATATGTAAAGATACCCAAATAATTTAACACTTTCTTTGCTTTCTTATTAATTTTTGTTTTTAGGAAGAGAGGAAAATATAATGCTTGCTTAGTGGCTAGGCTGTGTTCTCATCTGGCAGTACTTTCCTTCTTTGATAGAAATATAATGGTTCCCGAAATACAGCAATTCTGGCTCTTTTATGTTTTGGGGTTAAGTTTTGAATGATGTATTAAGTAGCTCTGTCATGATTCAAATCTATTTCACAAAAAGCTCTAAATCCAAAACACCTGGGTCAAATCTTGGCTTTCCAGAAGCTCTCTGTGCCTTGGTATCCTCTTCTGGAAAATGGGGAGGATTATAGTACTGGTATTATGGAGTTAAATGCATTAATGCATTTTCAGGTTTAACCCATTGCATATACTCAATAAATTATAATTGACATTGTTATTAGTATTTTTATATCAGTGATAACTGATATTTCATGACATTGCATCATTGTTCTTTTTCTCTTCCTTTCTTAGGCTGATTTAGTTTATTTTCATAGAACCTTTGGTTTCCATGGATATAGTCCTGTACATCATTTTTCAGATCAGGATATTAGGTAGTAATCACCTCATGCCACACAGGTCTCAGCAGCAGATTGCCAGTGGCCAGACCTTCCCTTCTCTCCTCCCCACCCCAGCCTGGCCGGTGCCTTTTGCCCTTTCACCCAGGACTCCCTGTTAAATCCTCCCATGTACCTCCCGTGGGAAGCGAGGAAGATGCCCCATCTGGAGGTAAAAAGTACCATTAACTCTCAACCTCACTCCCTCCCTTTCTCACCAAGAAAAAAAAGACTCGAGAGGGTAGTCATAGGGCAAATGGTGTGACTTCAGAGGTGCACCAAGAGGACTGATGCCTGGCTTTTGTAAGATATCCAAAGTAATACTAATCCACATCTATGACAAGTACAGACTGTACATTTTTACAACATGGGTGCGCTAAGAAATTAAATCCTGGACTATCGGAACTCCATTGCTCTATTTTTATTCATAGCCTGAAAACTGAATTTTATAATTTTAGGAGAGAATTTCCCTGAGATTTAACTTTAAGCATCAAACTTACTACAAGCGTCAGAGTGCTTAGGCTTTGCCCACATCCACACAGTTCGTGTCTTTTCTGTTTTCCAAATTTCTTTTACTCTCTGGGACCAAAATGGAACAAAAGTTAAAGTTTCTAGAAAAAACTGAAGCACATGTATATAGTTTCTTAATAGCTGTTTTCAGGTTTGAGTTTTAACATTTCAGACTCCAGCTTGCTTACTAAATTACTGCCTTCCCAGACCATTTCCAGCTTAGGGTTTCTTCAAGAGCAACATTGCTGTTAACTTTTCCTAAGAACATCTCGTTTCTTTATTTTTACTTGGTTGAGAGCCCTTTATGTGTTGATCAATCTATGTTCAGCTTCCCAATTATAATCCTTTTCTTCCCATTAACCAATACATTTTAGAAATTTCAGTGTAATTCAGACTTGTGGACCCCTTGTTCATCTTACTTAACAAGTACTGGCAGTGATAAATTACAGACAGCCAAAAATCAGCGTAAACAATATGACATTGCATTCAGTTAGCACGACACTTGCTTACTGTTGAATACTGGACTTTAAATGCTTTCTTCTGCGTAAAGAGCTTATGCAGAAAGAATTTATTCTCCAAAATGAAGGTCAGTATTCTGTTCCTTTTGTAAAATATACTGGGATGTTAGCTACATTGCTGTGGAATCTTTTTTTTTCCCTCTGCAGCCACAAGCTTGTTACAGTTAGTGGGCTGTTCTCTCAAATTTCTATCTCATAGAGAATAAAGGCACACTTTGTCTTAAGGGTGGTGGTGGTGGTGAAATACTGTGAAAGTAAGTAAAAGCAAAGGGGTCACATATAAAAACAGTCCTAAATTGGAAACTGTCTCATGGTTCCAAAACAGTGCATTCAGAATAGAAGCTCTAAATGTTACATTTATGAACTACTTGCCAACAGGAAGTCTGGAGTGGTTTTCATTAAAATGTAAAGTCAGTCTTCCAGACAAGATGTATTTATAGAAAAACTAATATTTAAAAACACATTTACAACTTAAAATTCAAACTAAAGGATATGCAAGATCCATATTTAGGTGTCTGAGCATCATAGAAGCTTCTCGTTTTCCATACCTTTTGTCAGTAGCCTTCAATGCCTTAACTCCCTTCTGTCAGTTGTCTTCAGATGAACGCCTGTAGGAAGAGAGAGCACATACACGAGGCACACTTCACAGCTTCTGTATTAGTGATGAGGCTCTAGCAAGCTGACTTGCAAATAGCAGATAAAGAGCAACATAGAAATCTGAGAGGTGAAAACTGCTGATGGTGCTAGAAGATAAATACCAGGTTCTCCATCTCATTTTTTGAGCTGTGGGAGAATTAAGAAAGGAGAGGCGGGGAAGGGAGGGAGTTGTTAATACAGGATTTGTCAAAACCTGAAAGCTGAAAATGCTTTTGTGTCCTATGCACAGAGGAGGAATTACTTGGGTGTTCACAAAAAAGCTTTCTTTGCCTTTAATATTATGTTTTAGTCCATAGTTATAATTTATTTTTGAATTTTTATCTGTGTTGGAAGACAGTTTTTTTTATTTCCTGTCCCCAGTTAAGGAATATGGTCTGGAATATTTTTAACTAGAGTGTGCTTTGCAAATAATAGCTGAGCCTCTCTTTTTATTCTAGTGCTAGTGACTTACCTGAAATCAAGATTTACAAAATTGGTAACTTACAGAAAAAACATTCCAAAGACAGTTGTTTTTTTAACATGTATTTCTTAAGTGAAAGAAAACTCAACAACAACAGTTGACTAGAATCTGATCATTAAACCTACAAGTATTTTTTTGGAGTGTCCTGAATTTTCTTCTGTTACTCCTCCCACTGAGAATGATTTCTGGAGTGTAACTCAATAAGTTAGAACTTGTAGAAAATGTTGTGAAGAAAGTACACTGTAATGATATGATGGGGCATATTAGGAGCAATAGTGAAATAAAATATGAAGCTCTAGACCATAAATGATTGCACATATTTCACATCCATCTACCTCAGGGTCTCAAATTTTTTCTTCCTTAACTCTATAGAGAAAGAAGATAATTTTGTGATTCGATTTTTAAAATATTACAACTGTTAATAGCCCAGTTAGATGTTAGCCATTTCCCTAAAAGCAGTGAATAACAAAATGCACATTTCAATTATCTGGATTTTTCTAGATTTATTTTTCATTTGTGTTGATTTGTTTTTATCTTTTCTAAGTGGCATTTAGATACTGTTTTCTTCTCTTAGAAATATAATGCCTGTGGGATTGTCTTTTAGTCAGTGTTGTAACTTTGATATATAATTTATATTCTTCTATTTCATGGAAATATATAAACAGTTCTCTGTATAAAGACTGGATGAAGGAGAGGTGAATTTCAGGCTGTTACCAACAGTAACAGCACTGTTTTTACTGCCACAGCAGAAGGAACTACCAGATCCCTTTAGTACTGGGGTGTTTTGCTCCCTGCCGTGCTGTCCATGCAGACTCACCTGTGCTGAGGCAGATCGATGGCAGGTGGGAGGCCCACCTGCTCCCAACTCTGACCTCCAGGATAAACAGGTTAAGCGTGCTTTAATGTACATGTCTATTTTCAGAACATTTTTGATTATTCTTCTGCCTTGATGAGATCACTTACCCTATAAAATATTAACTGCCCATTTTTAGAGGCTAAAGACCTCTAGAATGTAAACCTCCTGAGGGCAAGGATTTCTATCTGTCTTGTCCATTGCTGATCTCCCATGCCAGGCATGGTGCCTGGCACATAACTTAGTAGGGGTTAAATAAGTGTTGAATAAATTAATTCACAAACTGGTTGTGTGTACATAAATAACATCAATTAAATTGTATATTACTTTTGCATGATTAAAAATACAGTTTATCCATTCTAAATGAGACTGTAATTTTAAATAAATTTGCTACTCTTTAGTTTTGTCACCTTGGCCTAATTACAGTAATACCTACTGTGTATAAACTACTTCCAGTATGCTAGGTACTGTTTGAGGTGCTGTGGTATTTAAATCTCAAGACCAACCCCTGGAGATACAGGAATTCTCATTTTACAGGTGAGAAAAACTAAGCTGCAGAGAAGTTAAGTAACTAGACTGAGGTCATAAAATGAGTAAGTAGCAGGAAAGGAACTCAGGCCCAGAATATTGTGATTTTGAAGCCTTTGTATACTCATAGCACTGCCCTGCCTCCACTTAGGAAAGGATGTATTTCTAAGTCTCATTGGGATGAGTAGCATTTTCCTGTGGTAGTCTGGATAAGCTGTGGAAACTGATGAACCCTGACACCTCTGTAGCTTTACATAGGAATACTGACTTCTCACTCATGCAAAGACCATGACTGACCAGACAGTAGCTGGTCAGAGACTCAGTAGTCCATCTGTTTTCTTCTTTGAAATTTTTTTCATTTATCAACCTTTAGGAAAAAATTACATGTGATTTCTTTAACATATTTGTTTTTCTTGATAATGATAATCTGAACATTTGGACAAGCTTTTCTGTTCTTTCTGAAAGACTCAGTAATTTAACGGAATATTATAGAAACAATCACAATACCACACCTTTGTATGAGGTTGTTCTCTTTTGTTTCTCACCCTGTCTACATGTGGGCATCACCTAGTTTTAGATGAGCCCTGAGTTTAGAAGGCCCGGCCCAGTGGCTCTCATTTCATTGGTCTGCGATGATGCCCAGTCCCTGTATGTTTAAAATACTGCCCAGTTAATTCCAGTGAAAAGTTGGTGTTCTGATTTTTTAAAAAGCAGTGTCTTTTCTAACTTGCTTTCTGTTCAACCTTGAAAATAATGAAAGTTCAGAATAAGATAACGCATGTACCTGTTCCAGTCCCACAAATTTAAAATAATTGACTTCATCTTAAAATAATGTTTTTCTTATGACCCAATCTTAGGAAATTAGTAGTGTCAGCTATGAGCATGATCAGTTCTTTATTATCCATCTTTACTACCCATCTCTATGGTCATTTTAGTTTTAAAGTAATGCTTTCGGCTAGCCTGAAGACTTTAACTTTCAAAACTGGTAGTTTGTATATTAGTTGACTGTAGTGAGGACTGTGTCAGAAATGAAGGTGAATATTTTTGGTGTCTGTGTGTTCCCAAATGTCCACAATACCATCCTGCTTCTGTTGACTTACAGCAGTCAGGTGTACACTCCTGCTTACAGCAGTCCGTCTATTCATGGGGCACACATTCCGGGACCCCCAGTGGGTGCCTGAAACCGAGGACAGGACTGACCCTATATATGCTAATTTTTTTCCTATACATACATACCTATGATACAGTTTAAGTTATAAGGTGCAGTAAGAGATTAGCAATAACCAGTAATAAAATAGAAGTTACAACAATAGAAGTTATGTGAATGTGGACTCTTCAAATATCTTACTGTGCAGTACTCACCCTTCCTGTGATGATGTGAGATGATAAACTGCCTCCGTGACGAGAGGAAGTGAAGTGGGTGGCATAGGCACCGTGGCCCTTGCCGGGCTACCACTCACCCGACGACATGGCAGGAGGGTGATCGTCTGCTTCCAGACTGCACCTAGCCTCGGTAACTGAAACCGAGGAACGCGAAACCGCGCGTGAGGGGGGCTGCTGCATAGACTGCACAGCAGGTGCTCTGTTACCTTGTTTTTACACTTCATTGCTCTTTATGTCTTTATGTGGAAGGATCTTGAGGATATGTTTCTGAGTCTTCCTCACATTATTTTAGAAGATTAAGACTGTCTTTGGTTTTTGTGGTGACACTTGCACTGACAGGTTTTCTCAGTCTCATAAATAGTACAAATAAGTACCTGCTACGTACAGCCTTCCCGTTGCATTCTGTTTGCACACTATTTCGAAGAGCAGGATATTTTTTTAAACATCCTCGTCTAGTGACAGCATCTGAGACTGTGGGCTGAGTGTGCCGGTGCAGGCCTGGCCCTCAGCTCCCCGCCCCTCCTCTCTGCCCCCCTCCCCTGTGACTGTCCTACCCAGCTCGGTCTCCAGCACCTCAGCCTCAGCCTGCACTCAAGGGTCCTGGGGGGGTTCACATCGACTTGGTGATCTTGCCAAATTAAAGAGCTTCGTCAGTTTAAATCATTTCTCTTATTTATTTTTATATTTTTGGTGATACACTGGGAAGACTGAAGCCGCCCCCCGCCCCCAACCCTCTGTGAGTCAAATTAGTAAAACTGGCACATAAAGAATGAGATCCAGGAGCTACAGGATTCAACTTTAACAGGACACGGTATCTTTTTAAAATGAACAGGAAGAACAGGGCAGCATGAACATATTTAAAGACGCTCAGCAAGAGGAGAGCTGGCCTGGGTGCTGATGGCACGCGGACTGGGGGAATCCAGTACACAGAGCCCAGGCCCATGGGTGCTCAGGCGCGTAGGTCTGGTGTCCGCGACCGGCATGCTGACAGCCTGTACATGCGTTCCCGGTCCACGCGCCGCACAATCTTCTCGTGTTAACAGAGCTTGCACTTTCAGTTTTTATATAAACGGGAGAGACTGACTAGGCAACTTAAGTATAGCATCTAGTCTCTTCAGCAAGTATGGCTCCTAATGAACTAATATATTTACATTTATGTTTTTTATCAGTCTTTTCATAATGGTATTTTTTTGTAGCAGCAGCATTTATAGAATGCCCAGTGAGTTTGCATAGATTGAACCATCTCTGGATCTGATTGTTTTGGTGGTGCTGCAGTTTTCTGGTGAGTTGTGCTGGCACTCTGTGGCCTCTGGCCTGGCAGCCCCGAGGCCGCCCCAGGCAACTGCCACACCCATGGGCCCCTGGGAACCTCCCAGGGCTGCTGGCTCTCAAACACCACCGTCAGGTCTCATGGGAAGGGTGATGGTTTTAGAAAGGTTTCTTCCCCTTGATCCCCAGGGACTCCAGGTCAAATGTGACAGGAATCTTAATCCAGGTTTGTCAGTTCTTGTCTCTCTTCTGCTTCGTCCAGAAGGAAAGGTTTACCTCCCTGAAATTGTTTCCTTTCTTGGGACCAAGAGACCTGACTTATTTTGTTGTTGTCATGACTAATTCACATACACACGATTTACATACCTACATAACTTACCCAGTAAAAAGCTTTCTCCCCATTTCCTCTTGCCCTGGGTACCTCTTAGGCTTATTTCTCATCCTGCTGTCAGCTCCCTGTCATTCTCTTACATGCTTATGTTCTGAGGGGGAACACTGTGTGACTGGTTAAAATCTTCTCTTTATAATCCCAAGAAGGAAAAGAGGAAAAGCATTAAAAAATATGTTAGTGGAAAAAATGGTGGACTTCCAGAGAAATATTATTACAGTAACACACATTGTAAACTTTAAAGATATGTAGGTACTAACAGTGTGTTGATCTTTGTGGAATATCTGGAATTCTGTAAAGTGTTTGAGTTTTAAGGTTTTACCAGTTTAAGGAAATTCTGTCCTTAGGTTGGTCTTGGGACAAGGATTACAGGCAGAATAAACCAATTATAGGAAATGTGATCTACATTCATATTTGTAAATGTTTTTGCTTTTCTACACAGTGCACAGCTGTAATGCTATAGGCATCAATGACTTCCCTCTCTGGTACCTCCCTGGGACACCTGGGACATCAGCTGGAGGCTGTCTTAGCTTCATAGCTTGTTGTAGGCATCTGCACAGTGAGTGGGCACAAGTGCATGCACTCACCTTACTCTGTCGCTCACCTGGCCCTGGACGTGAGTCCCTGAAACCTCTGCCCTGCTCCATCAGGTGTCGCTGAGCACACGCTCTCCTTCCTGCCCACAGAGTCAGCCTGAGGCAGCAGCGCCTTGCCTTCCTGTTCGGTTCTGGAAGTCTTCCTGACTGGTCTCTGCAGTCACCCTTTTCCCGCACACTTGCTTCTCTCCCCCAGTCAGGGTTCTGTCTTGGCTGACCACTTAATAACTTCCTAATCATTTTTCCTCTCCACTGAATTGTCCTTTAAGGGTCTTGAGTGCCACAGGAGGCACTGAAGACCTTTTATTGGATAATGGCCAGTATTATTTCAGGGCCTTTTTGTGTGGTAGTAATTTAGCTCTTTGGCATATTATGGTCATCACAGTCGGGAACTGGGCTGTACATTCTTCAGTGTTCTCTGCGTCATGTTGATTCAAGGTCTGAGGTGGTAACACGTAAGGTGTGAGATTTCAGTTTGTTACCCCAGGTCTCTTATGAGTCCAAAGTGCTGCCCTGAGCTCATAACCAGCCCTGTCCTAGTTACAATGGCCTGGAAAATGCAACATTTGCCTCCAGCCTGTTGTAGCCAAGGCTGGTAATGTTGAGAAACAATCTCTGCATGGGATAGCTTTGACTTTATAGTGGATTTGAGGGGCAAAAAAGCCTTTATTTGAAATTTAAAATTAGTGTCATTTTGGTATACTGAGCTTGGAAAGGGGCTGGCAACATTAACCTAGAATTTTTAATTGCATCCAGTGAGGCCTGATTTCTTTTTTATAATCAGACCCTTTAATAGACTTAAAACTCAAGCAAGGATAAATAATGGTTGCAATTTTAAATAAGCTTTCAATTATAAGTAAAAGAAAAACACTTTTCTACTGTTACTATAGTTACCAAGCAGCTTTCCTGTGGTTGTAGAGAAAATGGAATCCATCATTCAATGTAATTCTGAGAAGTGCTTTTGGGGGCCAAGGTAGAGAAGAGGGTGGTACAGGAGGTTTCCCAGGGAAGCAGGACACATTATTAGAACCTTTTTACACTGAGTTTTACAGGCCCCTCCATTAAGTAGAACTGTATTCGATTGGGAGTGCGTATATTCTTTTAGCTGCAATATACTATTAGCCCACTTAGTTGGGTATCAAAATTATATTCAAGCTTTAGAAGTCTGCTTTTAGACAGTCTACAGGAGGTGCTGCTATATTTATACAGGGTTTTAAACTTTATATAAAGCAAATGCTAGACATTGCCTATATTTGCAAACACCAACTATATCTCAAAAGAATGAAGTCAGGAAGGTAAGATGAGGCCAAATTTAAAAAATCTAAGGAAGCTGGAAGTGGCAGTTTCTGTACTGGAAGAAGAATGCTTCTATCCCTGTATTTGTGCTTTGGTCTTAATAGTATTTGAACATTATATAGGGTTTTGATAATATTTCATAGGCTAAGGTTGGCTAAGGCTTAAATTTTATCATTTTGCTAAAAGATTTTCTCTGGAAAAAGGCTGGCTGTTGGAGACCCTGGAAGAATGCATATCAGCATTAACTCTGTAAGTAGGAAGAACTGGCTTGAGAAGGGTAGAGACGGTGACAGAGGGAGGCAGAAAGAGTGGCAGGGGCTCAGATGGTGGGCAAGGCATGGAGAGTGACAAGAGGCGCCATGTCTGAACCCTTCCTGGACAGTTGAGTTCACTTCTCTGCCCCAGACCACCAGGAGGGAAGCTGGGATGGGCATTTCAGATTTTACAAGCAGGAGTCTGGCGTGTAAGGTCATTGCAGTATATCTCAGGCAGCTTCTCCCGCTCTCCCCAACTCCTAGATCACCGCTTTGTTTTCCTGCCACAGCAGGGCTGTCACACAGGGCCATCGTTGCTTCCCTCCCTCCCTCCCTCCAGCAGTGTTCCTGTCCCCTGCTATCCTGACCCCCTCCATGACACTTTGTCCTCGTTCTCTCCTCTCTTCTCTGTGCTGAGCACAGACCTCTCCAGGACCCCTGCAACCCCATTCTGTGATGGTTTTTTGAAAGTCATGCAATGTCCTGGCCTTTTAACCAAATCGCTTAGTTTCCTACAGGAAGCACTTGTTACTAATCCAGGGAAGCTGCTTAAGCAACACATAGAACACAATTTGAAAAACTGTTAAAATTTAGTAAGAGCAGTTAACATCTGCAGACAGTCACTCTCTGAAGCACAGCGACTCTATCCCACCCAAGGAGCATAGTCTTCACTAAAGTAGAAGGTAGTCTGGAGGCCGACGGACACTGAGGGGAGCATTTTCGGTGGAGAAAGGCCTCTCCACTGGCAGTTTTCACTCTACTGTTTAGAACCTTCTCAGCATTTGCCAGCTACACCGTCCCTACCCTCTTCTAGTTACAGCCCAGAGGTGCAGCTGTAGCTAATCTGAAACCCTTGGAACAGGTTCAGTAGTTGTGCAAAGAAGTGGGGCCGGGCAGCTCAGCCCCCGCAGGGGAAATGCCGCAGACCCTCGGAGAGGCTGTGCGACCTTCGGTCGGTTTCCTGTCTTGAGCACATAGTCTCACATCATACATATGTATATTTCCTCCACCCTGAAAACAAAAACACTCTCCCTTCCTTGTATATTAACAGGCCAATTTTAAGGAGTTTTGTAGCTCCAAGGATCTTTAGAAGCAGGAGAACATGGTAACCTCTCTGGGATATAAAACACAGAATTCCTTTTGAAAAGCAGTGTTACAACCTACACTTCATAAATTGCTATACTTTCTTAGCCCTCATAGAGTCCATATGATGTTCTAAGTAGCAAGTTTAACAATTCCTTAAAGACTAATGCTTTTATCAAGTAGGAACAGACTCCATTCCCTAGGCCATGCTGTGTGCCATGCATGTGTGTGATAGCTGCTCTGACTCTATTTCTCAAGAAGGCAGGGTATACATCTCTTATCAGATATTCTTGAAAAGTTCTATTTTCTGATAATTAAAGCATCACAACAGCTGGTGGTAGCTTAACCGTCAGTGACATTTTTGGTGGTTTCCATTTTCTACTTGGAGCCTGCCTGTGCCTCCTGGGGCACTTAAAGTGGCTACCAGGCAGTTGTGTGGCCTTTTCAGATGAATCATGAATTCGGTCCAGCTGATTAATCAGTGTCTGTGCCCAAAATAAGTGGTATCCTAATTGATTCCCTTTCTGTGGAGTGTGGCGCTAAGGGGTCCCTGGGGAGCTGTGTGCCTTCTCACTCTGTTTCGGAGCCCAGCCTTATCGTCAGAACTGCTTTGCAGCTAATTTCTTACTCATTCCAAAACTAAATAAATATTCTAATGCTATCTGTCATCTGCCTGCTGACTTTGATGATTATTTGGGTTGATCTTAAAAGGCCATTGTAACACTGTTTTTTAAAATTAAGTGATCATCAAGCACCGAGCTAGTGGGTGTCGTTACAGAACAGATGCAGCTAAGTGAGATTTCGGAGTCAGCTCAAATCCAAAGCCATTCACGCATCAAGAGAAGGCGAAACTGGAGTCCATGCAAAGGTTTATGACAGCCATGCTGTGAACAACCCAGACCCTGTGCTTTATGAAGCTAAAATGTGTGATATGGTACACCATGCCACAAAACGATGCATATTTGCTTCAATGAAGGTGGACGTGGGCGTGGTACACTTCACTCCGCTGACACAGCCCAGGATAGACCAACCATTCAAGCTGGTGGAGAAAGTTGTCCAGAATGTGTTTCAGTTCCGAAGGAAATACTGCCATCGAGGGCTTGGGTAAGAATGCTTTCTCCTCCTTTCAGTAGTAATCTTTATAAATCGACAATCACTTTTAAATATTAAGAACTTTGTTTCTATGTTTCTTCCAAAGCTATCTGTCCTATTACTCTTAGCTCAAATCCTGCAGTGAACAGACCTTGACTACCACTGAGGAAAAAGCAAAACCTTGATTTAACCTCTGGTGCCACTTAAGAGGATTTGTTTTGTTTTGCATTAAGTACAAAGTCAGATTGACAAACATAGTCTATGATGACGCTGTGCTCAGGAGAGCCTGCTCTCTAAGTCTGGACTCTGACCATCCAAACTTTTTACCCTCAACACTTCTGATGCTGGATGTATGGTGTTTTTTCTGACACTGACAAATTCTGCAGTCTCCGGACGCCAGTTGGTGTCCTACAATTAAAGCCTGACACTAACTACCTGTAATTAGCACAGAACCCCCTCAGATTAATGGCTCAGTGCCACAAGTCCGCTCCCAGTTCAGATGTCAGCACAAATCCCAGACTGCCACCTGTACTTCTGTCCAGTGAGCTATAAACTGGGGATTCCCATGACCCCCTCTTCAGGTTCTCTAACTTACTAGAATGGCTCACAGAACTCAGGAGAACATGTCACTTTCATTTGTCAGTTTATTATAAAGGATATGACTCAGGAACAGCCACGTGGAAGAGATGCAGAAGGCAAGGTATGGAGTCAAGTGGTGCAGAGCTTCCACACTCTCTCTGGGTTCACCATCCTGGAAGCTCTCCAAACCCCATCATTTAGGGGTTCTTATTTCCATTACATAGGTTACAATCGATTAAGTCATTGGCTATTGGCCACTGAGCTTGCTCTCCAGCCCTGCTTCCCTCCCTGGAGGTCTGGGAGTAGAGCTGAAGGTTCCAGCCCTCTCACCATGTGGTTGCTTCTTCTGGCAACCATCCCACCACTGGAGCTGTCCAGGGCACCGGAAGTCACCCCATCAGTACACAATCAGGTGTGGTGGAAAGGGGCTGTTACGATAACAACACATGACCCCTATCACTTGGGAAATTTCAAAGGTTTTAAAAGCTCTGTGTCAGGAACCTGACACAAAGGCCAAATACATATTAGTACACTAAGTGGGTTTTTAAAATGCTTTCTTTCCACAGAAGTGCTGTATCTCTTTAAGGACACACTTAGAACTAGGAAGCAAATTTAACTTCTGAGCTGCCACCTTGGTGTCAGAAAGTACTCACCAGCACAGGTCAATGGCAAGCCCCTTTCCTGTGCCCGCTGCTCCGCACAGACACACAGGTGCTATTGGGAAGCCCAGGCAGAGTGCGGCGCTTAGAGTCCGCCTGTCCCAGAGGCCCTGGGCGACCCAAGTGAGAGTTTATATTCTTATTCAGGAAAGGCCAAGTAATTGGGCCCAATTACACCTTTTTAAGAAGGCAGGAAAGTGTATATTTTTTAAAGCTTTTCATGTAATGTAGTCAACACTTTCCTTTTTTTGACATGTATATACACTCATGTAACCTATACCCAGATCAAGATAATCCAACATTCTAATACTTAAAAAACATTTAGCCTTTTAAATGGGCTCAGTTTTATAAGCATGCATTTCTCACTTTCTGAAAGCCCCTTAGGTGCTCCCATCTTATCCTCTCTCTCTCTGGTTTTGTGAAGTGTCCCCTTAGCACTGGAAATTATCTTAGGGATAGCTGGGCAGCTGCATCCCGACACTACTGCAGCCCACGAAACTCATTCCTGAGGATTTGAGGTAAGCTCTCAGCCTGCTACTGCAGACTCCAATTAGGCCAGTATTCATCCTTCCCCAGAGAGTTACTGCTGTCCTGGCTGAGGCTTCAGGTGCAGAGCTGACACCAAGGGTGCCACTGGCTGTCTCAGTCCTCATGAGGCTGAAGGCGCCCTGTGGCAGGCTGCAGCCCCCACCGGAAGGCACTGATTGGTGAGCAGAACACAGGCTGGGTTTATCTCACCCTTACCCCCACTCAGGGTGGGCCCAGCCTGACTGTATATGGGGGCCCTGATTAATTGGGGGTAGGAGGGGAATCACAAAAAGTAAATCCTACTTTTGGAACTCCTGCAGTTGGCCTGAGCCCATAGTTGGCCCTAGTGTTTCTAAGACAATCCCCAGCTAAGTGATGGGCACCATTCTTTTCATATACGCAGTTCTCTGGGCAGATGGTGTGACCCACTTTGACCTACTGGTGTCCATCACATCACAGATGGGTCCCAAAAGTTAGAAACTATGATCAGAACCCCCCTGCCTGCCATGAAACTGAACTCAGAGATCTCATTCAACTCACCCAGAAACTGTGGGGACCATGCAGTTCTTTATTGAGGGGACCATCAGCTTGTAGAAAACCTTAATCTCCACTCACCATGACATCTCCTGAGCTCTGTAGAGTCTCTCTTGACTGTTAAGAGAAGAAATAAAATCCAGGTGAAGCTTTGCAATATTTCAGTCAGTAGTTTTCATTATTCATGTTAAAACAGTGATCAGATTTGGTTACATGAAATTTAAAATATATACTTTGAATCAATTTTAAGGATGCCTCAAGATAAATCAAAGAGGGAAATAACTATCTGCATTTTTGTACTGTCTGTTTTCTTACTTCGCAAAAGAAAGGTCATTCTTTTGTGGTAAAGAGCTCCAAAGGCCAGATTCAAATTACAGAGAATCAAAACTGATGACATGCTGCACAATAATAGACAACTTCCGGATTGAAATCTGAGGCAAATCGAACATACTTCTTAAGAATGCAACTGAGAGGTTACTTTACACTTACCTTAAAGATACATGCATTGATTTAGCTTTGGAAAGTACTTTCCCGTGTGGACACAGCTTGCAGGTCAGATTAGCTGTGCCTTCAGCAGTCATCCATCCTGTCACGTTGTGTAAGCGAGGTCCTCCTCCACTGGCTTGGAGTCCCACAGGCCACCGCCACGGCCCAGCCCCCTTTCCCACTCCCTCAGACCATCCGAACCATGTTGTTTTCAAGTGGCGGCAGAAGGAAGCATCATGATTTGCAGAACTTAAGTAAAATTTTGATTTCTCTCTCTTCTCAGAATGTTATTCCCTGAAGTTCAGCGCTTAGAAAACACTGGAAAACTGTTAAAGTTGGCAGATGTGGACCCTACACTTCGACCCTGCCAGCTCTCTGTCTCACATTTTAAGAGCCTCTGTGATGTATACCGAACAATGTGTGATGCAGACCCACACCTCTTTGCTTATAATTTTAGAGATGAACTCCAGCGAAATAAACGCAATAAGCAAAAGAAGGGTAACAAGGAGAGTTTCACCCTGTAGCTGCCACAGAGACTATTAAGAGCTTATTGAATGCTGAGCTCCTGATACGTGTACTTTGCCTTCTGCAGAATGACAGTAAAAAATACCAACTACTAAATGTGACTTAATTTCCCTTTTACTGCACAGCTTTAGAGAAAATAAATAAATCAAATAAGATACAGTACAAGCTTTCTTTTAATATACATACTGCATAGATATGACATGTTTAGTACAAACAGCATCTATTACAACCTTACAAAAATGAAGTATCTGCACAGTGTGCCCGTAACCCACAGTATAATAACTTAAATATGCTTTAAACAAAGCAAAAACTAACAGCTTAAAGAAAATGCCCCAAGGAATGAAAATTTTTTTAAAGCTATGAATTGCAATTAATAATCCATCTTATTTTTTCCACATAAATTATAATAAGAGTGAGATTTTAAGAATTCTGAGTCATTTTGATAACTGCTCAAAAGGGATATAAGTGAAGTAATTTACAGATTCTAACCAGTTTAATCTAGTTTTCTGATCCACAATAAATTAAAATAACTTAAATCTTTACAGCTATTTTGTAGGAAAATGTGTACTGTACAAAACCCAATAATGAAGTTTTTCTGCTATTTCCACTTTACCACCAGTTTAAAAGAGAAATGAGCAATTGAATTCATATTGGGATTGACATCGTACTATGACTTCCCATGGCTCTCTGTTTCATAAAAACACTCCTCATTTACAACTGACGTTAAACTCTGGACACTGAATTCTCGCTCAAGAACAGAATTGAGATCAAAGTTGACATTTTCAGATTGACTGTCAAGGGATTGATGACGAATCTGTGCCTTTAGCAGAGTTCCCCTGTCCCTTTTGGTGCTGTTTGCTTTTCGTTTAATGGCACAGAAGTGCCCCCGGACCAGTTTGGGCTGCTCCCCTCCCGGCTGGCCTTCCGTGCCAGGCTTCTGATCGGCCGGATGAGGATCAGGGTCCTCGGAGATTCTCAGCCTCTGGAACTGAATGGCGATGTCTTTGGTAGGGCTGCCCTGTCCCAGGGTCTGACGGCCGTCCTCATCTTCATCACTCAGAATGTCACTCTCTTTGATGAGACTGTCTGCGAGGTCGGCCAGGCCCGTGGGTGGGTGCCGGCCAGAGTCCCGCCTGCTCCCAGCCGCGCGGCAGCCGCTGCTCTGGGTGCCGCTGCTTAGACTGCCCTCGTCGGAGTCCAGTGAGCTACCCTTGCTAGGCTCGCCGGGCCACTCACTGCTGGAGGAGTTCTTGAGGACTTTTAGGGACCTGGATGAAGCTGCAGTGAGAAGAGCACATTTCCCCTTACGATGAAATGTTTTAACTTGTGTTTATTTGACATTTTAAGTTGGGATTTTGGCATTTTTAGATGACCAGTTATCAGAGCTCAATTATTTAGATAGAACAATAGATAAACTATTATAAGGGCTGGGATTATTATTTTGCCAATGGATAAGTTTTGAAGTTAGTTACTAGTAAAACTAGGTTCCTTTCTTTCACGTGAAGTGCTTTGTAATTCGATGACCGAGATCACACCATACTTCCCTGCCTACCTTGTCACCTTGTTTATTTCCCTTTCTGCCCAGTTAAAAGTAGAAAAATGCTCTTTAGCCCTCATGGGAACGGTCTCTGCTAGAATTTCTACCAGCTTTCAGAGATGTAATGTGAATATTTAAACATCTGTGTGTGTTTAACTCCTTTCTCTTGGGTTGAAGGGAAAAGGGAGCACTCTCAGTTGTGTTTCTACAGACAAAACAGCCGTGTAGTTTTGATGGCCAGAGCTTATTGTGGTGATGGAGAAAATACACAGTAAATTGGAAGTCAAACTGTGACCAAAAAGAGATGCATTTTATATGACTAAAAACAAGATCAAAATATTAACAAAGTAATGAATACAGAAATATAGTTTAGAACTGTAAGTTGAAATTATAAAAACAAAGTTTAAGAACAGCATGACCTGGAATGTTTACCTGTGAATTTATCGACTGGGTGAGAATGACTATGTTAAGCTGCTTGATCATAATTCAACAAGTACGGGCTTTCTGAATGCCCTGTGGTGCTGTGAGCACTGGGGACACTGCACTGAGTGGCACCAAGTCCTGGACTTCTGTCGTCTCGGGGGAGAGACAGGCAGTAAGTGCAGACTATGTCAGCTGGGGGCAAGATGAGGGATTTGGCTGGAGGAAGGTTGTAATTTATAAAAGAAGGCCTGGGAACAAGAGGCATGTTTAGGTTTCTTAAGAGGAAATTAAGTTGCCACTGCCGTCTCACACCACCTGTGTGTTTGGGGGCCTCGTTCAGAGTTCACAGAACTACCCCTGATCCTTTACAAAATGATGACTTAGTGCTGCACCACAGAACATACACCCTGGTAGAGAAGATCAAGTTTTCCTGAATGAACGCAAGACTAGCAAAGTTCTCACCTAACTTGGCTGAAACAGGAACACGGTTCTTCAGGGGCACCAGACGATCCTTGCAGGCTTTCTCCAGGGGCACTTCACACTTTATGTGGCGCCTGAAGTTCTCCCTCAGGATAGAGCGGATCACCTTGACGATGCTGGTTTTGCTCTCACCGTCACTGCAGGGAGAGAGCCGCATCGTGCCCAGCACGCCGTCGGGCTAGGCCACGTCCCCTGGTCCTCCCCTGCTCCCCGACTGCCCTCAGGACGGACTGACAGAGGTTACCCAGCCTGTGTGTGCCCTGTCTCCTCACAAAAGGAGCGAGGACTGTGGTTCTTGAAGTACCTGCGAGCACTGAAACTTGAATATATAGTCAGGGTGCTCTAGAGCCACACTTGCCATTCCGGGAGGGTGGGGGCAATCCTGGAGTAATCAAAGTGCAGGAGGGCACTAAAACTAAGCTCCCTTTTTTAAGAGAACGTAATCCTTATTCCCAATGGCTTGAATTTTGAAGTCAGTATTACCTGCAGCACAACTGAAAGATGGTCTCCGGCCGTCCTTCTATTTCTGACTTTGTGTGGATCAGCTCCCATATGGAGTTACTCTCTGTCCCTGGGTCAAAGAAAACAAGGGTCGACAGCTTTGCCAAAGACACTGGTTAAGAACATCCTTGAAAGTTAAAAACTCACAATTCAGTGACTTTAAATAAAGTTGAATATTCCCATCTTGACTTATCATTTTCTTCTGACTCATTCTGTATATGACTTTTACAAATAGTTACAAAACAACACTTTCTAGTTACTTTTTAGATTTCATGGTGAAGTTTTCTATCTAAAGTGCTTTCTATCCCTGAATTAAAGAGGTTAAAGAGATCCTGTTTTTTCAACCCCATTCCTTAGAAGGAACAGTAGGGTGTGCTCAGACCCTTGAGTTAGAGGCCAACCCCACATTCAGTAGTGTTCCAGGAAATACAGGCACTGTGACAAAAATCAAACAGGGACCCAGAATGTCACTGCATGCCTTCCCCTGTTGGTCCTTTCCATCACCAGAGGCATTGCCCACCAGAACATGGTTATTCTAGAAGGATCTCTTAACATTTTCCAAGTTCGAGTATTTTTTCTTCTTTTTAATATCACATATAATAGTGCTCAATCCTAAGGGATTTTCTGGTATATCAAATTTAAGAAATGTAAATTTGTGAAACTTTTTTAGATTTTGGGATACCAAGGATATTAAGGAGGAAGAAAAACGTGGAAAACTATTAGTAGGGAAAAGAAGCAGATAACGAAGAGAGACATTTTGGCAAATAAAAGTCATCTGTGGGTATTCGCTTTCTCCAGAAGTCTGTAAAGAAACATCCAAAAAACCTCTTGTGCCCTCATTTTCCTTCCCTATAGAACACCAAAATCATCCCCAAGGTTCTTTCCTACTTTTCATTCCACAATTGAAAGAAATCTCTTAAAATGTTTTTTCCAGCATTGTACCATGCAAAACAATTACCTGCTGTATTCCCCAGTCTGACTTGAAGCGCGGATATGGGGATCAACCAGCGAAATTTAAACGGGTCCAGGTCAGCAGAGCTGTGTGCGGGCCGGGAATTCGAGGGCTGTAATGTGAAAGCCCACAGAGAGAAGTGAAGGCAGGCTCACCAGGGAGGGCACGAGGCGGCGCGGGAGCTCCCAGGCCTCCCGGCGTGCAGGCTGCTTGCGGCTGTGTGGGCGCCGGGAGCAGAAACGAACCAGGTCCGCTTCGCTCCTGGTGCTCAGGGAACTTCCAGACAAGGGCGGGCAGAGCAAGGGTCTGCCGGTTTGGGGAGCAGAGCTCTAGATTTCCAAGCAAGAGGAGCAACCGAGCTTTCTTGTGTCCTCACATTACTTCTGCATGCAAGCTGATGGCTTATAGTGTCCACAGCTAAGCATTTTTTTGTTTTGTTTTTGAGTCAAGGTAAAAGTCATTTGAAAACATAACCAAAGTTATACAGCCTTTTATGTGCATGGAGCAAACATGGGCCATTTTCGGGGATATAAAAGCTGATACTCTACATAGGCCCAAGCATAGGTATTTGTCTACATCCTCTTTTAAAACTGACATCTTTTGTCAGGAGAATATGAAATAACTTGAGAATGTGATTTGGTTAGTCACCCTATTAAGTCATATCGGTCAGTGAGGCCTTGGCGCTCAGCAGGCTTCTCAGTTCAACATTAACAGGAAGAGACAGCCATGAAAAGGTAGCTTAATTAAAAGTAATTCTTGTCTTACCAATTTCTTTTTCAGTTTGCAGTTTTCTTTATAGACCAATATGACAGCTCTCTTGAAAACTGAAGAAAGTAAAAAGAGAAAGAAAAGTATTTCATTATTTTATACAAACTTTCTTCCAACATTGAACTAGCGCTGAATGTTTTAACAGAACAAAGCTCTTCATATTTGACCAGCTGCAAGGGACCACTATGCCAGCACAGGAGGGAATGGATGGGACTTCCTTCCATTCGTAGTTGCACTCTACAGAGGTACCTGCTTATTTAAAAGCTATTGTCTAAAGTAGCTCCTGGCAATTTTTCAGAATTCTGGTTCTGTTTTATTGAAATCTGAGGACATGGTGTTCATCGCACTGAGAATACACTGTCTATACCCAGTCTTAGAATTAAGACATTTTGAAGTGCATCAAAGTATTAAGATAGCAGATTTTAAAATAGCCTCAGTAGATCTGTTCCTGTAACACTTGGCCAGAACCACTGAGCCAGGCAGCAGAAGGGAGAACATGATAATGAGCATGCAGAGAGCGACAAGAGTTTTAAATAGTTGGAGGCTGGCTCTGTTAAGTCAGAAGCCATAGCAATGGTTCTGACTCCTGGAAATCGGGACTTAGCAGGACCGGTGGGTTTAGTAAGTTCTTCATTAGCTCCAACCTCTTTTAAGTTTACGTTCTTTCAAATGGAATACTAACCAAATACTGTGAGCTCAAGGTCCTTTCTGGTTTTCCCTAGAGACAGGAATGGATTCAACCAGGACACTGTAGAGTGCATCAGAAGTTCCCCCATTGAAAGTTCTGTTACCTATAATCATAAAAACAGGAGATGAAGATGTGGAGACCCAGGGGTAGGCTGCCTTCATGGAGAGTGAATCATATATATGGTCATTGCTAAAATGCAAGCAAATTCAGTTTGATTTTTATAGCTACTGTAAACATGGGGGGACTTAAATAGCTGAGGTTTTGAAAATATGATCCGAGTGTCAAACTTTGAAAAATAACACAAATGTTGGAGGCGTTCTCCTTAAATACATACATGGTGGGTGTGAGACATGTCCCCTGACGGACCCTGTAAACATTAATTCTACCACAGCATCAAGGTTCATCCCAAGTTTTCACCCAAATTTCATCCAAATATTTACCCCAGGGTTTGTTACATTTACTCTAATCCATAAACTACAGTGGACATGCTAATAAAAAGAAGTGGCAACATTGAAACTGAAATAAACTAACCAGATATTTTCTGTTCTTGTCTTTTTCTACTTCAACTGTGTTGCTTCTTATGTGTAGACTTTAAAAGCTCAGGAATTTAAATTTAGTCATCAGCCAGAAAAGAAAAATATAGAGATGATCAAATTCCACTTAAACTAGTTTTGTAAGTGAAGAGAAAGCCACCAGTATTTGATGTTAAAAAAGAAATAAAAAAGAAAAAGCCCTAGTTCTGTCCACACACTGGCTCCCACTTGCCTTATCTGTCCTCCTGCCAACCCCTGCCCTCCATGCGTGCTCTAGCCTCTGGGGCTTGTCCTACCTCACGCCCCACAGGAAGGGAGGAGGTGGTAGGGCTATGAGCTCAGCTGGATTTCTTGTTTTCTTTTGTACAATGTTAACATGACATAAGATTACATTTTTAAACCAGTGTAATGAATTTTATGTTACATTTATACCTAAACTGTGGTTTATTGTAAGCAATACGATCAAAAAGAAAATTTTAAGCAATTTCTCCTCCAGGAAAGGCCTACCAGGGTGGCCTAGCCTGGAGGTGCCCTACACAGGCAGTGAGCATGCGCACTAAGCCTCTCGAAGCCCAGAAGGCCCACTGACCTCCTTCTCCGTTCCGCTCTGCTCTGCTACCAGCTGGTCAAACACGGTCCCGTAATCCTCGTAGATCTTCTGCATCTCGTTGATGTGGCTTGCCACTTTTTCCATGGCCTTTAATGCTTCTGCAAAATATGAAATCATATTTATTTTATGATTTTTGTTTGCTTTAAGTCCTTTCCAACAGCTGTATTGAAAAGCTCAGGATTTAAGCCACGATTTGAGCCTGGTTGTTATTAACAGTAGCATTATTCAGGTGTGGCTCCAATAGCCCATTATAATCTAGTCATTATAATAAAGAACAGTAGAATGATCTTACACCTCAAATTCTCCCTGAAATGAGTCAGAGTACAAGTAAAAAGCATCACTAATAAAAACAGCTAACATTTATTGAGACCTGTTTGACATGTGCTACAACAGGTGATTTGTGTGACTCATTAAATCTCTGTAGTAACTCAGTGACTCTAAGAACAAATCAGTCCCATCTCACAGATGAGGAAAATGAGGTGCAGAAGGGTCACAAATTTAGCAGACTTCCAAAAAGAGAGATAAGGGTAGAGCCAGAACTGAAACCCAAGACTGACTGGCCACAGGATACCAGCTCTCAAATTTTGCCTCTCCTCCTGGGCAGGTTACTAGACTTGTGATCTGCAACAATTTTTTAATGAAAACTGAACAGATGTCTCTGTGAAGACCTAATCGCTAGAGCAGTTGCTGACATATGCACGGTGTTTATGCATGACTTTCTACAGGGGCATGTGAGAGAGAAAATGATTTTTGTCAAAGTCAAAAAGCGAAACTTCAGGTCATTTTTAAATTCAGTATTTTTTTATACTTTGTTCTCCTGACTGGGTATTTTAATTCAGTCAAGAGGGAGGTTTAGAAGACAGTTTTTTACCACAACCCTTTAAAAGATCATCTTAATGCAAAATGAACTTTCCACACGGTTTTTGAATACTGATCATAATCTCTATCATTTACTCATAGAATTTCCATATGAAAATTTTGTCCTTGTCACGATACAGAAGTATGCTTGCCATAGTAAAATAGCCAGTTTTATTTATACTCTTAGTGTTTATTATTCAGTAATACTAATAGTTATTAATGTAAGTATGTTTCTCTCCCCAGGTATTTTATTAACATGTCACTGGGCCTCTTAGTTTTGACATGTGGAGAACAAACCACTATTTCTTTCTAATGCAAACACAGCATCTCTTTAAGGGATGCTCTGTTTACTATCAAACTGAAGGGCTTTGTGCATCTGACAAATTATACCTAAGGCTAATAATTTCAAAGGTCAGTAAAGAAGATACATCAGCATCAACTTTAAAGCATCATCGGTCCCTGGGAGCCTTCTGGAGTCAGGCTCTGCTTGGAGATCTCCACAAGGTGGAGCTTATCCAACATGTTTGATCAGCAGTGCTTGGTCAGCAAACACAGCTTCAAAAAGTGGCAGGAAAATAGGCCTGATTTTCGTTTCTGGCAGTACTGTTTGCTAACCAAGTAACCTGAAGCAATTTACTTCAATTCACTGAGCTTGAATTATCTTCTTTTGAAAGTGAAAATGGGATCACCACTCCTAGATGTTTGGGGCTACTTCAATGAGATAAGTTGTGCCAAAATGCCATCTAAAGGGATGGCCTTGTAGCGAGCTGTTTTCACGTGCTAAGATTCTGGCTAAGATTAGCAGTGTAGTACTGAGAGAAGATCCGGAGGGTGACCCTGAGTGGGGAGGGGACACGCTGGCGTGTGCCTCCTGCTCTCACCGGTCAGGTGGTAGTGCTCCTCACTCTCATGGTCCGTCAGCGACACGAGCTCCTTCAGCAGCAGCGGGTACTTGAGCACGCGCTGCACCGGCTTGATGAGGTAAGACTCCAGGGTGGAGGAATGCTGCTTGGTGGGGTTCCGGGCGTCCAGAAAAGCCTTGAAGGCTTTATCAGTTTTAGCTACAACCAGGTGGATAAAAGATCCTTAGAAGGGCACAGCAGGATAGATTAAATTCTCCTTCATTTAGCTTTTAATGGCGTTAGAGATCATCTACTCCTGTAGTCTTCCTAATGCATCTTTTAATAAAAACCCAAACCCATCAGTGGCCCGGGCACCCAGCTGTCAGTGTGGAGTCAGCGTCACAGCTCTGGGACAAGTGCCCTGAGCAAAGGGAACTCACTAGGCTGCTGGGACAGCACAGTCCACACATCCGTGAGGAACACGACGCCAAAATGTATCAAGTCTGACTTTAAAGGCATGTTTCACATGCAGACCCATAGGAGAGATTATTATAGGTGCCTCAAAAGTGAGTTTCAAAACAATTTATAAAGCCACAAAACCATGTTACCCAGACTCTGTGCCCTACCCCACCAGATTTACATAGCAAAATAAACCAGTATTTTTCCCACTGTCCTAGCACAAATCGTCACTTACTCTATATACCTAAGGACTACTTGCAAAGCAATACTGTATCTCTTTTTTTCTTCAAAATAGATAGGCACTGCAGCCTTCACCTCCACCACTCTCAGTCATCTAGCCACACACCTGAGGCGAGGCTCAGACCCCTCGGGCAGTGTTACCTCTCTGTTCAGTGTCGGAGTGTCATGCAGGGCCCACACAGGAACCCGAGTGCATTTAGTTTGAGTGCCAGTGGGTATGCCAGTTGCTGCTTTGGATTCCACCTGCTGGCACTAGTTGACCAGCTGTTTGCAACTTAGCCATTGTGAATGGAGACATTACCCTGACTTGGAGTTTGTTACAAAGGTAAAATCTGCAACTTCCAGGAGATGCGGTGCCATTTTGAATGTGACTACCAGACAAAGTGGAAGGTAAGAAGATCCTTCATCTTTATGACAGAGGAAGAACTGAGCAAACCATTGGCGTGCTTTTATTTTAATGTACACTGTCATAAGGTGGCATTCCTGGGAGGAAATGCCCCGTAGTTGGATTTCTGTTCAAGGAACTAGAGAAGAGATTTTGGCTACAGCTTGTTAACTTGCAGCACTTCCATTTCTTAAACTTGAGCCTGTTCTTCTAGGATACTGTGAAGGTCTGGACTTAAATGAGGTGGCAGAGCTGGGTCAGTGTTGGTAGAAACCTCTCCATGCCCTCTGGGATAGTGCAGGGACACTATTCCCTGGTTTCGAAAAAGAAACACTATAAAGAGCAACCTTCAGATCCCTCTTGACAATGGCACTAAAAAGCATTTGATGACAAACAGAAAGGGCTTGGGATTTAGTTGGCTGCTACTACTTTGTTGATGCAGCTAAAAAAGGTCAAACAGAGAACCCTCCCCACTTCCACTGTCATGGAAGAGAATCCCGATCCACTGGCTTCCAGAGAGGCGGCAGACCACAGCAGGGGTGACCTGTATGAGGCCATCCTCAGTTCTACAGGAGTCATTCAAGTCTTGGCGGAACATCATTGCTGTCTTGGAAATGTATGATACTGTAAAAGTTCAAGCTTTAGATTCATGTATTATTTCCCAGTACCCTTGAGAGAATGCAGGTCAGCCAGGGACCTTTTCTGGAGGCGGTTCAGATGAACTTAAGTAGGATTACATGTATTTTCATAAGACACATTCCACTGCAGGGGCCTCGCAGAAGGGGGGAGTCTCCTGAGGACCCGGGTGTGGGCTGGATTACTGCTGCTCACTTCCTCGAGTTTAATCCTGTGTCTGCACCACTGAGTTTTCCTCCTCTTTTCTCTGCCATCAGAAATGAGAATTCCAAAGAATGGGATAGAAAAAATCTCCTGAGAGAGACGAATTTGAGAATTCTCATCTCACACCTGAAGAGGCAGATGCATGGTAACTGAAAGCAGCCTTCAGTAATAGAAGAGCCTCATTCCTGGCTTACAGTGTCACACGAACAGGTGTTAAACTTCAGGCTGGTGATACAGTGATGCAGCAGAGCTGCCCCCCGGCTCCCTGTCCTGAAGAAGGTCGTTGCCGTCGTCAGATCTTTGGACACACCTCCCAGCTGGGCTGCTGGCTGCCCATCAGTGAAAGCCCGCACGGATCGGTGCACAGCGGGCTGCCTACAAGCTGGCCCACTGCACGTCAGCTGACAAGGCCCTGTCTCAGCTCTAGGGTCCTGTTTGCTGATGGCACAAAGGGGAAGAGTGAGGAGGGTCGATCACCCAGGTCCTCTTGGACTTCCATAAAAAAAGCCTTTAGTTAAAGCCAATAAAATAAAATAAGATGATCAAAATATGGAGAGGGGACCGGCACTGGAGTGACAGCAGGTGAGCTGTGATAACAGATTTTTCCCAGTTCCAGCAAAGAAGCTTTAATTTTGGTTGACACACTTCTTGTGAGTCTGCAGTGGTTGTTCCATGGTGGTGGTTTGCAGTGGTTCCTCAGACATAAGAAGAAGGCCCACAAACAGAACAGCATATATTCATTCTCTTCTAAGCCCCATCTAGGGGCTTGTGGTTCCAAGTTTTCAGATCAAGGAATTTGGCAAGAAAAGGGCCCAGATGTAATTTAACAGCAAAGTGACGCATGCCAGAGCAGCATCACAGCTCTTCGGACACAGGTTCGCCACCACCAATAAAACTGAAACTGAAAACTTTCCCTTTAATGTCTGTAATTTCAAAGTCAAGAATCATGATCTATTAAAATTGCACTTATTCCTACTTGTAAATACAAACATGCTCTTTGTTTACTAAAATACAAAAAAGCACAAAGGTATGAGCAACTTACCTCGCTCTAGAACCTTCTGTACTTTAATGTGATTAGCACAAAATCCACTGTACAGTTTAAAGTGGTCCGCATAATAAAGGAAAGAGCCGCCAAGGGAGAAGAGTAATTTCTAGAAGGGGAGGGGAAAGTCATATCAGACATGCTTTAATATCTGCTGGCCCTGGCGTGGCCTCTGACTGCCCTGGCGGATCCGTGGTGTCTGTCTTTCAGATACCAGAGAGCACTGATGCCCCCGAGAAGCGTCCAGCTGAAAGAAGCCCAGGACTGCCCCACTGACACAGTAGTCAGAGAACAGTAGTCAGAGAACAGCCTGGACATTCCCCTAACAGATCTTAGTCTGATGAAAAACTTCCTGGTGGCAGAGCCTATTGACATGGCATGCAAGGACAAGAAAGGAAGTTCTATAAAAAAATACATCTGACAAAGTGGGATATAAATGATCTGCGAGGCTAATTTGTCAAGCCAACTCTGCACTACTTGGGGCAAATGATGCTACTTCCCTGTCCCCTTCCTACTGCCTTCCGCCTCTCCTTCCCTGAAGGGGCTGCCTACCCGTCACCCATGCTTACACTGGAGACAGGTCCACCCCAGAGAAGGCGCTCTCAGAGTACTCAGAGTAATTAACCTGTGCTTGCCATCCCAGTGTCACATGACCAGAGATGAAGGGTCGGATGCAGGCTCGGAAGCCCTTGCTTCAGAAGCAATCACCCTATACACCCTTAGGTAGAGTTGAGTACAGATGGTGGACATTGCCAACCAGACTAACTCCACAAAAGTCGTGCTGGCCAGCTTCTGATTACCAGAAGCATTTAGGGAAAAATGCAGCCTTCTCTTAGCGCCAGCCAGAGGAAACGAGCGCAGTGAACGCACTCCTTTTATCCTGTCGATAGTCAAGGAACAATGAATTCTTCTTCAAGGGAGAAGTTTGCATTGTACCCATCTATTTTTGCTTTAACTTACTCTAAACTGTGAGGGGGTTTCAAGTATGTTGAAGTCAGATGATGCTGAAATCCCATCTTCCAGAGTCTCCAGAAACACCTTTTGAAATTCAAGCATCTCTGGCAAACTTCCAAAAAGTGACTCCATCTGTGTGAAAAGCAGGATTTGAAAAGAGGGCCTTAGCAATGACCATCTAGGCACCCCTCTAACTCTCCGACACCCAAAGAAATCACAGTCATTCACCAAGAAGCAGGCAAAAGTGAATCCTTCAAAGACAGCATATTCATTAGGGGATACAGTTTATACACAGAGTTTGATAGCTCTGTCCCAATAATTCTAAAATAACTTTTTCAATGGATGTAAAATGTTCAGAATTCAAATCAGGGAAAAAATGGAAGTCAGCAGGAAAGAATTATTGTGATGTAATGTTAAAACATCACGTATTAAAAAGTAATTTTCAGTCACACCTTGTACAAGGTCATGGCATGTCCACCGCTCTGTATTTGCAGACTTGCCACTGCGCTCTGTGTGGCAGAGACGGCAGAAATGGCTTTGGAGGAGGGGGCAGGGCATGCTCCGGTCTTGCTGAAGATCCTGAGTCTTGGATGTTCATTAGGGATCAGCAGAGACGATCTAGGAGCCTGCTGAAGGGCACGCAGAGACTAACGGATGGGCAGTGGGCAGAGGGAAGGTGATTATTTACCTCATCTTGGGTAAGAAAGGTCTCATTTTGAAGCGGCTCCAAGTATAATTCAAAGAGGCAGCTCAGATCCTGAAATACGAAAGAGGAGGGTATTTGAATTTCCAAAATAGCCAAGAGTTTCCAGCAACCCCAGCTCCAGGCTCCTATGTCTTACTGAAACTCTTGGTCCTCAAAGTGGTAATTACTCACTCACTGAATTCAAAGAGGTTAATAGCACAATACACTCAGCAGCTGGATTCCACCTTTTTCTTTATAGCTGGATCACCTACTCTGCTTGCTTAAGTATCTTGCTGGCAGAGCCAGGATCATCCTCTCAACCACTACAGTGACTGGGGGCGCACTCATCTCCCGGCAGAGAAGTCGACTTCAGATTGCACACTTCTGTCGGCTGTGACCACACCTGCTGGCTGATCCGGCTTCTTCCTCAGGGGGTGGGGGGGCATGACGCCAGCTCCAGTGTAGAACTGAGAGGTGCAGGACAAGGTGTGGGGAGCGCTGCAACCCTGGGTTGGAGCATTAGCAGAATTTCCAACTCCCAGATTCCAAAGACTAGCAGTCATAATGTTTGTCATTTAGGCCATATTTGAGTCACCAGTATTGGGCTCCAGCAGTACAGAATGGTGGGCACTATTTACAAAACTCTTTAAATGAAGGATTTTTTTTTTAATTTAACAATTTGAAGCCAAGAGCAGTATATCATTTAGTGACAGAAAATATTTCTTTTCCTGTTTCATTTACTCTGAAGAATCATGAGTCCTAAAACTGGAAAGGTAATTGGCTGCATGGTCACCTACACTGCCTCCCTCACTTACAACAGAGGAGCCCGGATCTGGGGAGCCTGTGAGAGCCCGGAGCCCCCAGAACCTTACGGCGTCACCCTGGGG